AACTCGGATGGCCCTTTAAAGCCGCGGATCGCAAACTAACTACTCCGTTTTGGGGCCATCCTTCAAGCTGAAAACCAGTTGCCCCCAGATCCTCACAACTGGTTTAGGGTTTAGGGTTTAGGGTTTAGGGTAAGGACCCAGGTTAAATGCTTAACCTGAACCCCCAAAGCCTCAGCCCAAGCCCACGAGCCCTAAACCTAGTTGGGCATGAGGGAATGAGGTACCCTGAGCGGCTGAGTTCATAATTCATAAGCCCCCCCCAAAAAAGTGCACACTTTCAGTTCTATAGGGGATGATCGTATGCCAAAGTGTAAAGTGTGCTCACTCAGCAACTAAGTACGGGCAATCCCCCAACAGAAGCCGTTGAAGGGATCCTACAGGGTACCTATTTCTCTCTTTCCTAGGCTTGGAGTGTCAGTAGGGATTGACCCCAAAACCCTAAACCCTAAACCCTAAACCCTAAACCCTAAACCCACCGGCCTCCATCTCTCCGCGTGCTCGCGGGGAAGGCAGGCGCTAATCAAGAACTTTGCCTCGGCCAGGTGGAGAGGTTTAGGGTTTATGGTTTAGGGGTTTAGGGGTTTAGGGATTTAGGGATTTAGGGTCGCATAAACCCTCCTAAACCCAAAAAAATGAACCGGAAACGCTTGGGTTTCCAGACCTCTACTAGAGGTTTCGGGCTTTACGGGGTTGAGAGGGTCCAGGCGAGGTTTGGGGGCTTGGGGGGCTTTAGGGGCTTTTAAGGGGTAGGGTTTAGAGTTTGGGGTTTAGGGCCTCGAAAAGCCTCCTAAACCCTCAGCCCTAAAATCTCAACTCAGCCCTCCAGTCTGAAGCCTGAAGGTAAAGTGGCCCGTGAGAACGGCCGAAGGAGAATCGCATGCGCAGGGGTCGAGGTGATGCGTATGAGCCTTCGAAACCCGAAACCCGAAACCCGAAGTCCTAAGCCCTAAGCCTTAAGCCCTAAGCCCTAAGCCCTAAGCCCTAAGCCCTAAGCCCTAAGCCCTAAGCCCTAAGCCCTAAGCCCTAAGCCCTAAGCCCTAAACCCAAACCCTTAATGGGTCCTGAGTGCTGGTCGTGTGTTGCTACGTTCGAGGTAGTCGGTTGCTCAAGTTCTACCTCGACCACGACCCCCGCAAACTACTAGTAGACCTTGACGTGCAACCGGGCTTGGGCTAGAATAGGGTGTACCTACTGGTTCTCAGTAGGGAATGAGGGTGCCTTTCAATCCCCTACATACGCCCTTTAGGGAATTTCTGTAGCGCACCTCATCCCCTCAGCAGCTTCTAAGAAGCAGCAAGTTTAGGGCTTAGGGTTTAGGGTTATAGGGTTTAGGGTTAGAACGCTGCCAGCTACAATCATGCCACGCCGACATCTAAACCCGAAACACACAACGCAGACTCCAAATGCAGAGGACGCCGATCTTAAACAGTTACATCGCCCCTTCCATTTTCGAAGGGTTCTGAAGCATGGGCCCTTGGGAAACGTAGTGTATACTATTATAGTAGACAAAAACCATGCAACTACTCTCAAATTGTAGGAGGTATATAGGAGTAGGGGTATCTCTGCGCTGGTAGATCCCTTTGAGAGAACCCACAGGAGAAACGCGCAAGGGCTAGGAGGGGGTGGTCTCGCTATCCTACCGACATAGAGGGACCCTAAACCCCAAACCCCCAAACCCTAAACCCTAAAACCCAGTCCCTCTCTACGGAAGCCCTCAAGCCGAACCAACCGCGGCCCTGGTGCTGTCGCGTTCTTCGGATCTGGACGACGAGGGGAGGGAGGCAAGTCAATCTGGTCCAAGTCGGTATCCTGCCACAGCCCTAAGCCGTAGAAACTCCAAACCCTGGACGCTAAACCCTAAACGTTATATCCCAACCTCCACGCCCTAAACCCTAAACCCTAAACCCTAAACCCTAAACCCTAAACCCTAAACCCTAAACCCTAAACCCTAAACCCTAAACCCTAAACCCTAAACCCTAAATCAAATAAATTCACTACAGCAGCCTTGCGGTGTAGGGCGTCAGGTTGTAGGGTCCGGGATTCAAGGCTCAGGATCGGGCTTCGGGTTGGGGAGTCAGGAATGCCGGCTTGTTTTTGCTTTAGGTTTAGGGTTTAGGGTTTAGGGTTTAGGGTTTGAGGTTTAGCGTTTAGGGTTTAGGGCTAGGGTTTAACGTTTAGGGTGGACCAGCCAGCCAACCACATCAGGTCTAAGAGTGCAAGGTTGAAAGCCCCTGGAACAATTAATGAACACCCTGAACCCTAAAGCAGAAACCCGGAAGCTTCATTGGGGGGGTGTATCTATGGCTTCTTTTGTGATTTACACACTACATGGCCTACTAAAATGCAATGCGCATCTATGTATGACCATATACCTAAGCCCTCAACATTAAACCCTAAACATATATTCATATATACCCTAAACCCTAAACCCTAAACCTTAAACCCTAAACCCTAAACCCTAAACCCTAACCCATAAAAACCCGAAAATTGTACGGGATCTCGGCCGCAGGCCTGATCCGCGGCCCGCTTGGCGATGTGCTTGCGTGCAAGCCTCCTTGGTTTGTGCGTAGCTCTCACTGGAGCACTGAAGCTCCAGGGCTTAGGGGGTTTAGGGTTTAGGGTTTATAAACCCTAAACCCTATAGGGTTTAGGGTTTAGGGTTTAGGGTTTTTCAAGTTTCTGGGGTACATAATAAGACGCACCCTATATTTGAGTGAGTGCACAGTATTGTCTGCAGCGCGGGGCAACCCTACAGCAGCATCACTGGGCCAACAAGTTTCCGTCCCTGTACTTGCAGTTGCTCAAGGACTCTTCATTTTATTCCCCTCCACAATCCCCCTATACATATATATATATATATATGTGTATATGTATATATGTATATATATATATATACTGTTGTATACCTTATGTAGGTACTTTGTCAAGGTTGAACAACGGGATTTTGGGGCCCTGGCCTAGACCTAAGCCCTTGCAAGCCCCTTGAAAGCCCTGGGAGGTTGATAGGGTTGGACAACAACCTCCGTCGTCACCCGGCGCTCTACTGGCTAGGGTGTGCTTAAAGGATCAGGGGACTTAGTATGCTGGGTCACAAGTAAGGAAACTGCACTTATAAGTCCATTTAAAGCACATATAACCCCTACTTACTTAAGTGCCCCGATCCTCCAAGCAGGCTCAGGCTTCAGGGTCGTGGGATGAAAAACTGGGTATCTACAGCGTGTGCCCCTCTCACTCTGCTGCTGTTGGTTTTCCACTCCCTCCTTCAGGTTCAGCGCAGGGCTTCCGTCATTGGAAGCCTCCCCGCCCCTTCGAACCCAAAATCCTTGGACCATCAGAAAGTATATAATACCCTGTAATACTAGATAATCCCTATTAAGGAGTTTAAACCATAAAGCCCTACTTAAGGGCTCATACGGTCCCTAAGGATCACTCAACCGACGGCGGCAGGTGGGAGAACTTTAGTTCAGCTGGGTCTCTCCAAACGCTCTGTCAGATGCACGTTGCCCAGGATTTCCTGTGCTTGAGAACTTGGCTGCACTCAGAAGGGTAGCTAAAAACTAAATTTTTAGCTGCCATGTTAAGAAACCCAATAAACCCAAAGAGGCTAAGGATCTAAAGTTACAATAAAGCACTACAAAGAGAATAGTCCGCAATTGGTTGTTGCTCTTGGCTTTGCTGGTGCGCGGGGTGTGGAGTGGTGTGCTGAGCGGAACTTGAAACCAAGGCACACGGCGTACATGGTGGCAGACTCTCAAGCTGTGTTGGGAACTGTTGGGCAAGACCGGACTGCTACAAATATCATCCACAGCCAGTCCTCTCTGGGCAAGATGATCTTTCGGGCGTTCTTGGGTTTCTGCCCGATGCGGCCAGCGTTACCCGGCGGTGCCATGGCAGCGTCGGCAGTTGCGTGGACGACTTGCAGCTGTCTACGTGGCTGAAGCATAGAGTACGGCCTTTGTACGGAGGCCACACGCTGAACGTCAACCCCTCTTCAATGCTAGATTTACATGGCTGCTTTGTGTTCAAGCTGCGCATCCCAGGGTGTGTTGAGGGTAAGAGTCTTGTCTCGGGCATCCCGATAAAAAAAAAGAGAATGGCCCTGAGCCCGAATTACTTGTGAACCCCAAACATAGGTCTTTAGCTAGGACAACTGGAGTAGTAAGTGGATTGAGATGCGCGGCGGTTTCAGGTTCGGGACATCAGATTCATTAGATAAGACGTTTCAACAAGATAGAACTTCAACTTCTGAAGTCTTAAGTTGGGGATTTCCCCCTTGTACTCGCGGCCCTCCACGGGGATTCTAATGGGGGTACTATAATCCCTGCGCAAGGCAAGGCCTGTTAGTGCAAGGGGCAACATCCCAAGTCTTAAGACTTAAACTAACTCCATAGACCAAAAAACCCCAAACCCTGAGGCCCAAAAGACAACCGGATTTGGGATGAAATTGGGGGTTTAGGGGTACCCCTTATTGGGGTCCTTATTATAAGGGAATCGTACTATTTGGGGTCGATATGTGGGGCCCCTTATTTTCGTAAGCCCCCAATTGAGGAAGACAAACGAATTTGGGCATTTCCCAAAGTAGGGGTACTCTTACTATACCCCCAAATACCATAATCCTGACTAAAGGATCCCCCAAAGAGGGTACCCATTTGGGACTAATTTGGGGAGAGGGTAGGTCGTATCATTGTACTTATAACTCAATCATAACCATATTAGGGCACGTAAAGGGCTCATAACCGAGTTATACGTACAGTTATAACTGGGCAATAAAAACCATGAACCTCCAAGTAGGCATACTACCAGGTCAAGGCGAGATGGGCACCTTGCGATGGTCACTACATCCCGAAACCCTTATCAGCCCAACACCGCGGTTTAGGGTTTGGGATTTAGGGTTTAGGCTTTAGGGTTTAGGGTTTAGGGCACCCCAAAACCCTAAACCCTAAATCCTAAACCCCAGACCCTAAACCCACGAAACCCTTTCCCCTGAATGGGCGCCCGGCCGATAAGCTTTGGAAGGCTCCGGCCACGGCGCAGGCAAGCAGGCCGGTAGTGTGCCTCCCGAATTGAAACTCCCGAAGCCGTAAGCCCGATCGCCCTAAACCCTAAACCTAAAACCCTAAACCTAAAACCCTAAACCCTAAACCCTAAACCCTAAACCCTTTTTACAACCCTAACCCCCAGACCCTCTAAGCTTTCATGCAGGGTCTTGGTGTTTGGGATTTAGGGTTTCATGGCCTTTTCTTCCCACCCTGGGCTGTAAGGCAACATACCATACTGAAGACTCCAAAATTGAGAAAATGTAGATCAACCTTGACATGATTGAGGGTTTAGTTCAGGGTTTAGGGTTTAGGGTTTAGGGTTTAGGGTTCAGGGTTCAGGGTTTAGGGTTTACCCTAAACCCTCAACCCACAAAAACACAGCTCTGTAGAGGTCGTGGAAACACCAGGTGTGACCACACCTCCCTAAGATCCTATTAAACTAGATGTCCTAAACACTAGGCCCTGAATCCCCTAAGCCCTAACCCTAAACCCGAAACCCTGCACCCCTTTTTGGCTCTCCCGCACGGCAGACGCGTGTGGTCTAGGCCGATGACGGGAACCGGGCAAACGAGTTCACCTGGCCGCTGCGGCTTTAGGGTTTAGGGTTTAGGCTTTGGGGTTTAGGGCTTGGGGTTTAGGGTTTGGCGTTTGGGGTGAAGGATTTAGGGTTTAGGCGACCAGGTTGCTGGGAGGTGATGCAATGAACCTTGCACCTATTTCAGGGCCCTAAACCCTAAATTGGGGACATCTGAACCCTTCAATCCTCCGCGTCTCAATACTATGTGCTTAAGAACCCATCCCACCCCAAAAGATTAGCAATCCACATATTGCCCTTATAAGGAAGAATGTTTTGTTGGGTGGTTCGTAAGCACATAGTAGTCACTACTATAGCCCCTCCAAAAGGCCACAAGGACAAGCATCAGGCTAAGATAAGGAAATGCGATAGTACTACAATGAGAACAGTAGTTGGGCTGTTGATGGTGCTCACGACATACGAGAAGCACACATGCTCATACTACCAAAAGCCACAATGGCAATGAGAATACCTACCCTGCCAAATGTTACTATTACTGTTGTATTGTTACCCTAAGGGTCCATGTACCTCATTATTGTATACTTGGGCCCCAAAGTCCCTGTGTAGGAGGTACTTTAAGGCCCAAGCATTCCTTGTTTAGGTACATGGACCCTCAGGGTTACAGATAACTAGATATCCCTAGGGTTCATGTACCTCATTATTCTCTTCTTTGGTCCCACAGACCCTACAGACCCTACAAAGGAGGTACTTACAGCATGCCATATTTAGGGTACATGGACTCTTAGGGCATGCTTTCTTGTGTGCAAAGGAGGCCCTAAGCCCAAAGCCCTAAACCCTAAACCCCAAACCCTGGCCCTAAACCCTAAACCCTAAATCCTAAACCCTCCCCCACCCAACCAGGTGGCGCTCCTCAGCCACACTTCCCATCCGATGCGCACGACCCAATTGCACACTTGCAGGTGCCAGTCCTCGCTTTAGAGGTTCAGGTTCGTAACAACCCAAGGGTTTAGGGTGTAGGTTTAGGGTTTAGGGTTTTAGGGTTTAGGGTTTGGGGTTTAGGGTTTAGGGTTTAGGGTTTAGGGTTTCGGGTTTGGGGGTTAGGGTTTAGGGTTTAGGGTGCAGGCTGCCGGCTCTTAGCGTACAGCAAATTGTGTTTCCTCAGGCTTGAGGGGTGGTTAAGTTGTTGGTCTGCTTGAAGTGTTGGGCTTAGGGTTTGGGGCTTTGGGCCTGTTGGGGCTTCGGGCTTGAGGTTCGTTTTGGGTTCTAGACTTCCGCTGGCAGTTGGGTGGATAAAGCTTTACTGGGATTAGCTTGCAGGGTTTCAGGGTGAGGAACTTGGCCTTGAAAATGTGTGTATAAGTGTAAGGTACCTATGCTAGGGGCTTATTCACGGTCTCCAGTACTAAAAGTATTCAAGGGTGCTTAAGACGGGGCAGGTTCAAGGGGGTATGTAACCCAAGGTTTCCTTTTGCTCCCGACTACTCCTTAAGGCTCCCTAAGCTTCCCTAAGGTTGCTTAGGTACCTACTCCCCTTGAACCCCCCCTCCCTTAAGAACCCTGTAGAAGTATACGGTTCTTTTGTTAAGAAGGGGCTCACAACCTTAAAACTGAGGGCTTATAGGGTTTAGGTTTTCGGGTTGGGATGTTTCCCCTACGTACTAACAGCTCCTTGATAGGGATTCTAGTACCCCCTGCTACAATCCTTATTAAGGACTGCTAGTATACAGCGGAGCATCCCAAGTTTCGGGTCTAAACCCTTTAAAGCCTTCGAGCACGCCTATCCTTGCATGCCAGAGTATCTCGGCATGAAATCGGGTTAAGGTTTGAGAGCTAACTAGGGTGCAGGGGTTTGTGTACAGGGACCTTACCTGCAAAAAGGGAACAGCCCACTGTGGGTCCCAAAACAAAGTCTTCCCCATACAGACCCCTTACTACCGTCATAGGTGCCTCTGAGGTCCCGATTTTGGGGTTTAGGGTTCAGGGTTTAGGGTACAGCCCTGAACCTTGGAAGCAGTCGTCGCATCCTACTGAAAGCACAACACAAACCCAACCGTAAGCCATAAACCCAAATCCTCAACCGCAGATTCCTTCCAAAGCCCCCAGATTCTCGACTCTCAGCTGTGGACGAGAATTAAGTGTACTGGCGGCTGACCTAGCTTATCGGCCCGTGATGGGTCTTCGTTGTAGTAGATGCTTATGCACCTAAGGCAATTGAAACCCTAAATCCTCACCTTACACCCTGAACCCTGAACCTCAACGACCGACCCTAATGCTCTTGTGTGTAGCTGAGGTGGGCACGTCTGCGAGCCCCTGGGAAAGCAATTTCGACATGTCGCCCCAGAGGTTTAGGGCTTAGGATTTTCGGTTTCAAGAAATTGTGCCTGAAATCTTGCTGAGGATCCCGATTATACATGTTTTCATAACACATGTTCCAACAAGAGGCTCTCACACATCGGGGGGGGGGGGGGGCTCCCACATAAAGCAAGGCCAGGTGGATCCCTATAGCGCAACATGATATACTGAGGGTCAGTTCGTATTGAGGAAGCCCGGCTTAGGGCCGCAAAGGGTTTCATAGCTACATGAAACCCTTAACCCAAATATTTTGAATCGATTCTTGAGGCCTAGCACGAATCATGTCCGTCAAATTTAGCGACTTGCAGGCTGCAGGTCACAGAGGTTGAGTGGGTACTTGGAAAATTGACTATACCGTGCCTTACCATGTAGGGGCAGGGTTCAGGGTTTAGGGCTAAGGTGCCCAAGAAGTGCCCAGGCTTCAAAGAATCCCCCACATCTATGGTTATGGCTCCGGCATCTAGGGCATCTAGGAAAGGCTTTTGCTTCATACCCTAAACCCTAAACCCGAAACCCGGATCCCGAAACCCAAAACCCGAAAACATAAACCCTAAACCCTAAACCCTAAACCCCAAACCCATGGGCTTTGCTTCAAGACATCGCGGCCGTTAAGACCTGGGTTTCAATCATGGCCCGCACCAGCATTACCACCCAACCCGGAAGCCTCCACTATACAATGCACCCTGAACCTCTAGGGTTTGGGGTTTAGGGTTTAGGGTTTAGGGTCGCTATAACCCTGAACCTTAGATGCAAAGCCCCCCAAAATCAGCAAAATCAGCCGGGGTGCAAGTCTGCGTCGCAGATTTGTCCAACCGGGCACAAGACGCCGTTCAAGGGAGGGTTCAAGCCTCTGGCACCGGGGTTTAAGGATTTGGGCTTTAAGGCATTGATTTGGGGGGTTTACGAAAATACGAGACCCTTAATATATTCCCCCGAATAGTATAGGATTCCTTTATAATAAGGACCCGAATAAGGTACCCTTAATTTCGGAAACGCCCATTTGGGATTTGGAATTCGATGGAACGGGGCGCCATGAGAAGACTAGCAAGTCACATTCAGAATTGAACGTTCAGATTGGGTACGAAACCCTAGACAATAACTAAACCTGTAGCCACTAATGGTAGAGATAGAGGATCGACACGCTAAATCCTTTCCGCATGCAAAGAACACCCACCAGAGCCCTCATATTCTGGCAACTCAATCTACAAGTTCCTCACTGAATAGACAGCGCATGTTTGGTCAAGTGGGGTCGATTTTCAGGAACCCTCAACCCCCAACCCTAAACCCTACACCCTAAACGCTACTGATCCCAGGGCTTGGGGTTGCAACTGGCCAACCTCAGCAGCCTAGCTCCTCCAAAGGCACTGAGGTTCTGGCAGCCTGTGACAGCCACGGCAGCGTTGCAGCCTTGCTTTCGTTGCGAGCTTAGGGTTTAGGGTTTAGGGTTTAGGGTTTAGGGTTTAGGGTTTAGGGTTTAGGGTTAAGGGTTTAGGGTTTATACTTGGAGGTTCATGGTACTTATCAACCCAATGAGTCATTGTACTTACAAACAATTCTAGCCATATTCGGGCACTTAAGGGGCTTCTACGTACCCTTTGGAGTTCTGCTGGGAGGTCCATGGCACTTATCAACCCAAGGAGAACTGTACCTGTAACCCAATTCGAACCATGCCAGGGCACTTAAAGGGGTGTAGAAGTGGGCTTTTCAGTACAGCTACAATTGGGCCCTACGTACCCTGAACCTCCAAGTGGGGCTTAGGGGTCAAGGATTTAAGGTATGAACATGGTTTGAGGTTTGGGGACTCCATGGTGTTTTTTCTTTTTGGGTTTAGGGTTTAGGGTTTAGGGTTTAGGGTTTAGGGTTTAGGGTTTAGGGTTTAGGGTTTAGGGTTTCGACTGTGAAAGGTAGCCACCCTCAGCAGATGTTGCATTCTTCTGAATGCCGATGCTGCCAGACTGCTCGGAGGCTGGTAGGGGTAGTAGATGCTTAGGAACCCCGAAAAATGTACGATGATAATCTCTATTTGCCCTGATCAGGAAGAACATTTTTGTTGGGTTCTTAAGCAAATAGTGGGGGAGTGTGCTGTGGGCCTACATAAATTGGTGGGACAGCATCTTGGACGCCCTGTT